ATATATATATATATATATATATATATATATATATATATATATATATATATATATATATATATATATATATATATATTGGGAATACCGCTATAAAATGTGAATTTTTCACTACTCTATTTTAGAAACAAAATATTTAATAATTCTAACATTTCGGTGTCTGTATATTAGTTTTTAATATCACAATAGTTTTTTATCCAAATCTTATATGTAATTTTTAGAAGATAGTAAAAATAGTACACGTTAATTTCAAGGAACACACGTATAAAAAGAATCTACTTTAGTTGTAAATTTTGTAGCTTTTTCGATTGATACAACAGCATTTTTTCCGTGTATAAACCGAAGTTTTATCGTTAAAAAATTTATTATATTTTTTAACAAAATAAACTCTGACAATTTACTTTTGTATTACTAGAAAAAATACGATAAAATTAAAAATAATTTATTAATTAATAATTTATATAAAAAAATTATAATATTCTCTTTGTATGTGTGCAGTTTTAGTATTTTCGATCAGCAACGTCGAATAATCTTGATTTTAGTTTTTCCTTATTTCACACTTGCCAAAAATGAATGACTAGTAGTTTGATTTCTCATGGCGCGCCACGATCCGCCGATCAATCTTTCGGTTCAAGTTCGATTAAACATGATCGGATTTGTTCTCGTCTATGAATCTATAATCAGTATAATCGACCTTGTTACTTACGTTTTCGGGGTGCGTCTGAAATCTTTGATACAGTTCCTCGGGTGAGATTTTGTGGAAGTCAATGTCCAACTCCTGCTTCAAGTCATCTAAATTGTCCCCCCTCCGCTTTGGATTCTTCCGCCGCGACTGTTAATAAAAACAAACAAACGGAGCGTTATCAAGAGTGTAGTTTCTTGGTAACACCTTTTCATATCGTCGCATGATATCGTGTCGATATCTATCTGCATTATGCGATTTTAATATAATCTCCGTTATATGAAGCCTCGAGAGAAGAGCATGATCACGAGACGATCACATGTTGCGTCCATTAATAATCGAATGATTAAAACGAAGAGGATTATCGTCGAGCGCGTCTCGGTTTACACGAGAACCGAGATTTCATTCCAGTGCCGAGCGAGAGAAGTTGCCGTTGCAGCAGTCGCAGCAGAAAAGATCGATTGCGAGATAACGATAGCGGCGAGAAACGAGGTGACCGAGCGACCGCGACGATATCGTGCATAATAATTGTAAGACGAAATACGATTGCACTGTAATGAAAAAAGCGTTTCAAAGACGTTTATCGCGGCGAAAGTGATCGATGAGCAACGAAGATTCCGGCAGCATGTCGACGAGACCGAAAGTCTCTTCAACTTTTCTTCTCTCGGATATTGCGCATGTGTGTTTCTCTTCTCGTTGTCTCGTTCGGATCTACCCACGTTCAAAAGCTCTCTCACTATTTCTCTTAACTTTGAAGGGGAGACAAGGTTCTGAAAGACTCACATGAATAAATTAAAAAGTAAATAAGACCCATATACTCTTAATTTCTTACGTAATCTTGTCTATTATTTCATCGTCCAATAACAAAAACAAACGTTCCGTTTTCAAACATTTAAACCTTTTTCTCACACAAAAAAATTAATAAATATTATAACGACGATGTCTTTCACAATGCAAATACACAGAACAGTCATTCGGAATAATACAACACGAAAAATATCGTTTCTAACCGCAAATCTGTGTTCTATATTAATCGATACAGCTGAATATCTCGAAAATGAAAGAAGATATGAAAAAGTATTCTCAACAAAAATTGTAGGATTTTGAAGAAAACAAATAGTCACTTATTTACCCTACTATTAAGCTTTTGGTTAACTAATGTTCATCTACTATCATGATTTATATACTATCAACATCAACGACATCTTGTTCCTTGACAGCAGAAAGATCATTAATGTGATCTTCTATTCTGTCGTAATATTTCAGCTGGACGCAATGATTTCTCTAATTTTTTAGGTTTTATTGGATTTATTATTCCTTGTAGAGAAGATATCTGATATTTGCGATTAACTTTCATCGAATATTATATAGAGTGTTTCAATCCATTAATCATACATATAGCTTAATTAATGAAAGATTTAAACTTATTGACATTTTTAATATATAATTGTAAACTTCGATATAATAATAATACTCTTTTAATATAGCATTGTAAACTTCGATCTAAGTTATGTGTCTCACTATATTGATTATTCACTGTATATTTTGTTCTCGCTATGATTTTCTTTATACGATCCTACTTTATCCTATCATGTAAGCTTATATTTGTTACTTATCTGTTTTTTTTATAACCAGAGGGGGACTTTATTTATCCATTTACGTCATAAATAGATAAATGAAAAATAGTATCATTTATTTGACCATGGAATGATCTTGAAAAACCCTATCAAAGTTAACTTTACTTCTTTTATGAAATTTTTTATGATTTATAAATTAATTTATAAGCTATTTATAAACTAGTGTTTTTAATATAAATCGAATCTTCCGGTAATTCCGCACATAAAAGCACTGGAATAGAAACATCGAAAAGTGCATATTTTTCGAGATATTTTATATTTAATTTTGATATTCTTGTTTACATACACCCACATACAATTCAAAATATGAAATATCTCTTGACATATTTACTTTTCAATAAATCCTCACCTTGGATTTATAAAAAGAACATATAGCAATTGTAAACAAAATTCTGAGAATTTCACAAATTTATTGTTGCACTAATTTGCAAATATTAATATAACCGATCAATTTCTCTCATCATTCTATGTATAAATATAATAAGATAAAGTTGCCGAGAAATTAATAGTTTACAAGACATTCCATATCTTGATCTAATTTCATAGTTGTAAGATAGGAAATTTCAGATCTCAAAATATCTAATATCGAAAAAATGCCGAAAATATCTGATACTGAGAAATATCAAGATAAAATGTAAGATATGTTGGAAAATACTTATACTTTATTTCAATTCTTTTACTCATACTCAATATAACCAAAAAAATCGATTTAGAAAAATTATTTGATTCCATTTAAAAAATTAAAGTTGATCTTTACAGGTTTTTCAAAATCAAATCCAAAATCATTCCGAGGTTAAGTAAGTACCACTATTTTTTTCCCTAAGATTCTTTTTTTCTTAAGATCCCCCCCCCCTACAAGTTTCGCTGAAAAAAATATTTTATGTCTTCCTTAATTTCTCAAGTATCCAGCTGTATCGATTAAAATGGGATACTTTGTATATGCCAAAAATTCTAAGCGACAAAGCGGCTTCTAATTGAAGTAAAAAGAATCGTAATCATTTGAATTTCATTTGTTACTTATTGGTCATTGTTATTAAACAATGACGGGTAGTAAATCACTGGTAGTAAACGCAAGACGGTACCTGTAAAACTTACCCATGCAATGGAATCTGGAGTCAAAGCATTTCTTTTATTGGACCATAAAATAATAGGTGAATAAAATAGGTGAATAATAGGTTAATAAAATAATGAAATAAATAATGAAATAATAATTATTGGACCATGAAATAATAGACAAGATTAACAATGTTTGGTTTTTATTTGCTTTCTAATCGTAGTAATTTTTTTGTGACTTGTTTTCCGATTTGTTTTCTGACCTTAATTTCTTCTATTGGTGTAATCTTATCTCACCCTACGCACTTATCGTCGACGCGTTGAATCACAATTATAAAACGGCTCGCTCAAGGGAACGCCGACGAGACAGACGAGTGATTAAAGCGCGACTACAATACCGTCCTCCTAGTCAGTCCCCAGTCCACCACCAAGTTGAATCCCTTCATCATGCGTTAAGATGATCGCGAAGCTCGCAACGAGAACGCAAAAGACATCACAGATTACGACAAGATCCGAGAATTTCGGAAGCGATAGCGAGAGGAAGAGAAAAATCCCCGTCGAAGCGTATAGTTAGTTAGCAACGAGAAACATGTTGACAATAGAAAGTCCAAGTAGACGTTACCACGAAGAAACGACGGAATTACAGAAGTCAGCATAAAGAAGAAAGTGACGAGCGAATGGAACAGAGAGAAAAGAAGAAGTAGAAGAAAGAGCAGAGAAAAGAAAATAAAAGAAGTGGAGAGTAATAGATAGAGATACAGAGATAGATAACGAGAAGAACGTTCTCGTTTTGTATATTTTCGCCCCACAGAACAGCGTAGCATCACATATTTCAGCGTTTGGAAACGTTAATTATGTAGAATTCGTGCGGGAGAAGAGCCGATTAGGGCTCTCTGTATACCTTGTACATCCCATCTGCGGTTTTGTTGTCGTCGGGAATGTTGGATAACGTGGCGACCCTGTACGATTCTGAGCAGCCATGCTGTAAAAAAATGGGCGATAAAAAAATCATGAAACAACAACGACGCAACAAAATATACGTACGATCGGCGGGCGATCGGAAATAAATATACCAATGTATGTATGGCAAAATCAGACGAATTAAAAATTAATAATGATGAGCGCGAGCTAAAAATACACCTCGCGGGGGTGAAGCGTTCGTCCCTGAATAATCACAGACTGTCGCGTTTCATCAGAGGATATAATACGCAAGAATTAACGACATATTGTAGCACAACACAAGTTTATATCAATAAAAAAAATCTTGTATTTGGAACTTTATTAGTAAATTTAACACCAGAATTTGATTATAAACTCCAAGATATTGTTTGATTATAAACTCCAAGATTTCGTTTTAATAAAAATGTCATGCAACATAAATCGCTACATAAGACAGCAAATATTTCCAAGAGGGGTTGAACGATTTCCAATCTTTCGAAGATCGTTCTCGATTTTTATCGCCATCACTTCGAAAACTGATTACCTCTTATCCTGCAATGTTCCCGATGATTTGACGAATACTTTACTTTTCGCAAGAAAAAAACTACGAAGAAACAGAAAACGACGCGGACACCGGCGTCTTGTAGATCCTAGTGCGCGTCGATCTAGTTTTCTTTTTTACAAGTTAACGCGCGCCTGTTTCGAAAATTTGATGATTTTTATGTGCATGGAGAAAACTGCTTTAGTTATTACATTCACATATTCTGTATGTTAAAGAGAAAATGTATGTGATTTCAAGTTAAATATATACAGGGTGTCCCGAAACTACCGGATGTTATTTTAATGGCAGATTCTTTAGAACATTTTAAAACGAAAACTTCCATATAACAATGTCGAGGCTATAATGGTTTTCAAACAGGAAGCGATTATATTTCACCAATAACAGGGCTGAGATTTCGCGCGCTCAGGTACGCCGAAATGACAAGTGATAAAGGTGCCACATGCAGTATAGAATAATGGATACCTTCATGGTAATAATTGATCGACACTTTGACAGATTAAGTTGAAATGTCATTTTTACTTGAATTATATTTAAGATATCTTACAACTGTTATTCATATAAAAAAATATGCTAATGCAATGTGTAGAGAAGCAGCAAAACATTATGACAATGTTATTGTAAATTTATACAATAATCATGATATAAAAAAAGTGACATTCATAGGAGCAACTTTATCACTTGTCATTTCCACGTGCCTGAGCGCGCGAAATCTCAGCCCTGTTATTGGTGAAATATAATCGCTTCCCGTTTGAAAACTATTATAGCCTCGACATTTTTGTATGAAAGTTTTCGTTTAAAATGTTCTAAAGAATCTGCCATTAAAATAACATCCGATAGTTTCAGGACACCCTGTATAGCACTTAAAGTTAGTGTTGTTATATAGCTTATCTATATAGTTCTCATAGTTATAATTCTTATGATACGTATAATGTTCCGTTAGAATATTCTCATATACAGAATGTCCCAGACTCTTCCACAACTTTTGTGGCAACGTAAAACGGATTGATGTGAACATAAAAATTCCATAATTTTACGATATTCGCAATAAATCTCGAGATATTAATCAAAGAAGGTTGGTGAATGATCATGCGCGATATGATAGATGAGTTGCAGTAGCGTCGTCTGCCGTTATGTACTTATATATTAGGTCAAACTGAACAAAAAAGTTCTCTACCATTTTGCAAGTGACTATATAGATTTTTAAATATTAATTAAAGATCCATGCATTATTGTACACAATTATATTGTACACAATATAACAATTTCCTTTTATTAGTAACTAAAAATCTACATGGTCATTTGTGAAATGATAAAGGGCTTTTCAACTTGACCTAATATACACAACAGGACATATCGCCACTACAACTCATCTATCATATCGCGCGTAATCATTCATCAATCTCCTTTAATTAATATTTCGACTATTATTGCGAATGTCGCAAAACGGTATAGGATTTTTATGTTCACTTTGATCTGTTATACGGTCACACAAAAATTGCGGAGAAGAATCTTAGATACCCTGTATATAGTTGCCTCAACCGAAAGAACATGTTGTCTCTCCGTTATAATCTGCAGAACAAATACTATAGCTGAAAGACCTGTAGGAATCTGATTTTGTTACGCCATACATCATGTACAATGTGAACATCACTCAAACATATATGAACAGGCAGCAAAAAAGGTAGTATACCACTTTCAAAATACTATGGTCCATACTATCTTGTATGCATGGGTAAAAAATAATATTAATATTTTGTCATGGCAATCATATTTAAGCAAGTGATAGATTTAGTATTTTTATCGTGAGTGTCACTTTCGAAAATCAATAATTTTTCTCTCTTCCTTCTTCACGCTCTCTCGATATTGTCAGTGTATAATCCGACATATCGATATTCGAATGAGCCGGTCAGCTTTCTCATAATAATCGCGATACTAACTGTGACCTTCTCCCCCCCCCCCC